CCGTCATTGCATTCTTGGAGAGATGCAAGAATGGAAAATAAATCCTCGTCAGATCACTTCGAAACATATGATTGCGCGTGGCCCCGTTGGCATTGTGCACAAAGGAGTGTACAAGGCCAGGATGTCGCCATTAAGCTACTTGAGTGGGCCGAGGAGAATACCATGAAGAAAACAGAGGTTCAATACTACAGAAACGAATTCAGACAAGAGGTTGCTGTGTGGCATAAACTCGACCACCCTAATGTCACGGAGTTCATCGGAGCCTCGATGGGAAACTCAGATTTGCAAATTCCCTCAGCCGTGGATGGTGATGATGGATTCCATCATGTGCCGAACAATGCTTGTTGTGTTGTCGTTGAGTACCTCGCAGGCGGGACTCTTAAAGAACATCTCATTCGCAGCCGGCAGAAAAAACTCTCGTACAAGGTGGTCGTGCAATTAGCCTGGGATGTTTCTAGAGGGCTTGCATACCTCCATTCTCAGAAGCTCATTCATCGTGGTGTGAAGACAGAGAACATGTTTCCCGACATATAGATGAGGGTCAAAATTGCAGATTCCGGAGTTGCACGAGTGGAGGCATCCTATCCCATGGACATGACCTGGTGATACTGGTGCCCCAGGATACATGGCTCCAGAGATTCTCGACGGTAAGCCCTACAACAAGAAGTGCGATGTGTACAGCTTGGGGATCTGTTTGTGGGAAGTTTATTGCTGCGACATGCCGCACTTGGACCTCTCCTTTGCGGACATGACATCGACAGTTGTGCATCAGAATTCGACACCTCATGGGTGTCTCTGTTTTTGGTTTTTTTCAATTGTGGTTTTACATTTTAATTATATTATTCCCTTTTTTAATGTAGGGATGACATGATCATAAGTGTGCAAGCATTTTGTTGTCTCCCCTGGTTTCGTTTCAAGCATAGCTGCTTGACTTGCATTTTCAGAAACCTGTTGCAGAACCCTATTGAGTATACACTAGAAAGGATGTTTTTGTCCAAAACGTTTAGCAATCAGCAAACTTCATTCTAACAGTATTGAATCTGAAGAACACTTGGAAGAGCCGCGAAATCTCTCGTTCGGAAATTGCCACAAGCAGAGAACGGGGGAGAGGGGTACATGGGAACGTGGGAACGGGATCGAGGCTGGGAACGGGGGAACGGGGACGAGGATGCAATGATTCTTCATCCAAGGTGGATCGATTTAGTAAAAATCTGGGTCGATTTATCATTCCCTTAAATAAATTAATAAAACCAAAATTGAAGCCTAAAGAAAAATTTGAAATAAAAAAAATTATTAATATTTCCAACACGACATATATATATATATATATATATATATATATATTGCAGTTATATACAATTGCTATATGAATACACATACCAAGAAACATCATGAAGAAAATCAGAAACAAACTCTAGTTATTTCATTTCTAAATTATAAATAAATCAAAAATATTTGTTGATTTAAAAAAAACACTCCAATGAATAAAAATGATGATTTAGTACAGTAGTGAAGCATTAGAAATACACAATATTAGTGATAAATTGATATGCATATCAAAAAAACACATACACACATACACACCTTTAGTATGTCTCGTTTAAGTTATGAGAGAGAGGATACCAATGCATAGACCGTACATAATAGAAAAACACATGTTATCTCACAACTTGATCTTATTCCATGATAGGAATCATTGACTTAAGAATAAAATTAAACGCTTAAGACTTTGCAAATGGGAACAACAAGCTGCAACATATGGTTGTGTCCAGCGCACCATATTGAAATCGACACTCTATTATTTGAAGTATCTGTTTAAACACAAGCTCCTCTATGAATTCCACCCAGTGCCTACATATTCTGAATTTCTTCACGTAAATGAGAACCGTATCTACAATCATGTTTCAATATGTGCAAGTTGGTCCTGCAAAATGAAAGCTATACAACACATCATACAACAGAGGTGGAGCATAAATGAAGCAGTCTGGGGTAGAGACTGAAGCTGAATTGCGTGTAGTGACAAGGAGCTAGAAATTCATATGCGTTTGTTTACTGATTATGCTATTATCAGCCTTCTCTTGTGCCTTCTCCGACAACTAGAAATCTGGCAGCAAATGGGTAAGTCTTACGCTTCGATCCACACACATTCGAGAACAATATCCAAGTACGTCCTGATGAAGAAACATTTTTCTGCAGCTCAAACAGATGCTAGTGTGGGTTTCGATGCAGGCCATGGTGCAAACATGTGCTGGTTGTCGAAGTCTGCGACTCTGGAGTTGCTTGGCTGAACTCTCCAACTTGTACAAAATAAAAATAAAACTGTTGAAAAGTCTGGAAAAACTTTAGTGAAAATGAAAGTAGACACGGAGACCTGCAGGTGGTTGGCTACTGAGATACACTTCCCTTTCCTCTAGATTCTGTTTCTATTATGTTTCAGTTTGGATAACTCTTGAAGACGACATTCGACAAAATTTACAAGTCGATTAATGACTAGAACTTTCTAGGTCTACAGTCATGGTTACTTGCTCTGATGTCTGCATTTGTTCAAAAGGTCTAACTATTTTTGAAACCTTGGTTCAAGGACCGTGACGTTGAATACAGCAGATCCTGGAGTATGAGCTCTACAATTACAACGACAACGTTTATTCATTCTGTGGAGTACTATTGTAAGACTTGGATTTGACACAAAAAACAAAAAGGTCTAGCAAGCAAAGGTTGGAAGAGGAAAGCATCTTGCAGTCATTTATTTATTTGAAGCCACATTGCAAATTGTTTAACAAGTTCTTTAGCAAGCCTTGCTCAAAAACTTTGATCAGGTCAGTTTCAATTGCGTATATTCGCAGCACTTGAAGCTGGTATAGGTTGGTCATGATCCCGCAGTATTCCCTGTTACTCAAATCTGTTAACAAATCTAGTGTGAGACAAGAGAAGGTTTTGACAGGAAATCGTTATCTGTTCAGGACTAAACCTCCTCAAGCTGAATCAGGAGTTGTTCAGAGATACCTCACACCGGGGAGATATCATTGCGACTAGCAACTTCAGCAGGCGCAAGTTCGACACTGAGAGTTGTTGGGTTGTAATCCATTGACGCGTATTGCACATGTCTGGGTTCCAGTGCCGGAGACAGTCGGTACCTACATTCAACTGTAATCAGGTTGACCCAAACAACCCGATCTTTGTTAGTTCGGCATCCATTTCGACGACGGCTCCTCATTGGTATCGACTGTCAATTGATTGTCTATTCTACTGTTATATCACTCCAGTGGGCCGACTTCAAACATCTCTATAAGTTTAACTTCCAGGTGCCATTCGCAATGCTGCAACTGAGCGATCTCCAAACCTCTGCAACAAGGCGTCAGCCCAGTGGACATTCTCCAGTACTGTATAAAGAGAGTATTGGTTGGATCTTATCTGCGGTAGCGCATACTGTATATTGGTACTGTAATTTTGCAATGAGTGGACTGAGATCAAGGAATGAGTTGGGCATTCATGTAACAATTGACTGTTGGGGATGATGCTTGTGGCTAGTGGGAGGTTTTACTGGAAGAACAGAATGAAATTATTAAAAGGAAAACCACTCATGCACGAGGTGCAAAATCCAAAGTCATCCTAATTCCACAAGGCAACTTTCTATATAAAGCATAAGAGCAGTATTTTTTATTGTTTACTGTGAGTGAAAGAAATTTAGAGATCGACTTTGAGCACTTCCACCCAAGCAGCAATCAATAGTTGACGTGGCTCGATGGCATCCATTAGTGACACGTACCCATCTTTAAATAGATGTCTGGAATATTACAACACTCTATCTGTCGAAGTGGTGATCACTACAGTTCAAACCAAAAAAAAACAATTAAAAAAAATTGGGGTTTTTGACCCTTTGCTCCAAAAACGTTTAGCTAATGAATGCGATTGTTGTATGTTATTAATTGTATGCAATAATTCTACTAATGCTTTGTCATGGGGAATTGTGGGACGGTTATATTTTTCCACATACACAGCCAAACAAGGGTGCCACGTACTTGGACAGCTGTCTCTACGGCGTGAACATGGATCCCAAAAGAGAGTTCTGTGTTTCCCAAGCTCTCTCGCACAGAAGCTTCAGCTCCTCCGTATTCTGATGTACTTTTATCACCTTTCATGTCGAGAAAGACACTGGGGACTTGGACCGCGTTGAAATCCACGAGAAAAAGGGGTAAAGAAGAAAAAAAAAGAAGAAAAAAAAAAAAAAAAATCGTGACGATCGTTGAGGTGTGCCAGATTCTCACGAGGTCTTTTATTATAATTCCCACCTCTAAGTAACGTCAGATCTTGTGCTCATCTCCTTTGTCTGGTAGCTGTTTACGAAAAGTAATACAACCTCTCACCGTGAAAGGCAAAGAAATCAAAGCTATGGACGAATTCGATCTGTTGGTATATATAGGAGGAATAGTCACATGTACCCAACTAACACAATTTGCATGTTGCACTTATCTGAAATACTGTATTACGGCTAGCTTGGTTATTCAAGGGTGCTGAAGACGGGTCTGCCCCCTTCCTCAGTGGAATCGGGTGAATGGGGATCGCAGATTCTTCTATCTGGGGCTTTGACCAGGAAGAAACAGTAACAGTCTGTTCGGTGCAACGCCCGCGGCACATCTTGACAGCCGCAGAGGATGTGACCTGGAAGTTGGAAATGGTAAAACATTGTGATGTGCATAGTGATGGAATTTTTCAGTTTGACACCAGCCTCAATTTAGGGCACAGAGTTCTGTAAACAGACATGATCGGGAACATAGACCACATCGTAACGAGCCAACCAAGCATACGTCCATCAGAAGAAGATCTCATGACGTTTACCCAAGCTTGTTTTGAAGAAAGTTAACAAAATAAACCAATAAGAAAGTTGAAAAGAACAGAGAACCAAGTTAATCGTCTCCAAATACCAGGCGATTGCAACCATGACAGGAAAAGGAAAGCAAAAAAACAAAACAAAACAAAACAAAAGAGCAGCTCCCATCACATAGAAACCGTTCTTTAATTGTAAACCGCACAGCCCGGACACAAAACCATCCCACTGCCAATCTTATCAGATATAACCGTACATGATGTTTATAATGCATTGTTCATTTTAATATTAAAATCTTAGCATTCCTCATCCTAGCCAACGAAGGAAAGAAAAAAGAGAAAAGAAAAGGACAAAAGAGGAAATCTATGAACAGCCAGTCTCTACGCAGAACAAAATAGGCAAGACATGTCATACAACCGCCAGCACGGAACTACACTACGTCTCGCCCCGGCCTACCACCAATCAATTGAGGCTCTTTCCGAATCCACCCCATCAGAAAAGACTTGATTGTCGTGATCACTGCATTCACACGATGCTCAATATGTCACTCCCAACATTCCTAACAAACACTCATTGACATAAAACCAAACCAAACATCCTCTGCGTAGAAATACATAAATGCCTATGGGATCGCATTCAAATCAACAGTTCGTACCTCCGCTTCCTCCGGTCTCATGTCATCTCCCTTTCCCTGGTCGTCGCCTACATCGTCCTGGAGATCTGACGTCCATAAAGTCAGATTATCTCTAAGTAGTTGCATGATCAATGTGCTGTCCTTGTACGACTCCTCACTCAATGTGTCCAATTCGGCAATTGCCTCGTCGAATGCTTGCTTCGCCAAATGGCATGCCCTACCACCACGCAGTCAATCGCACAGTCAGTTACGAACCCCGCCAAAAGAAAAGCACGTCCCACAGGCATCCAAAACCTCAACTCAAAATCTTACCGCTCAGGGGAGTTCAAAATCTCATAATAGAAGACAGAGAAGTTCAAGGCCAGTCCCAGCCGAATCGGATGAGTTGGCGCCAAGTCTGTCACTGCTGTATTAGATGCAGCCTGCACACGTATTCACATCACCTCCGTCACGTTACTACTCATGCCACGCAGCCCACTTAATTGGACAACACTGCGCCACCACCGCCAGATACAGAAACTAGACAACAGTTATCACCACAAGCTGCAGTGCCAACCACCCAAGCTCACTATATTACTCAGCACAACACCCAATCACCCCCACGTAGACACACCTGGTAGGCCTTCAAAGATTGGTCAGCAGCTTCTTTTCTCTCAGCCCCAGTTTTGAACTCCGCCAGGTACCGGTAGTAGTCTCCCTTCCTAGAACCCCGCCCATCACAGACAAACATCAGACTTCTGTCAGCACAAACCAGACACTCCTCTTGAAGACGACTATAGGACCGGTCAAGAATTAACCGATAATCTGATCCACCAATTCCGCTCCTCAGGCCCGAGTAATCTATTTGAGAAATCTAGTCTACCAACTCCATGCACAGATAGAAACATGTCACACCAACTGCAACACCTTCAGCACTCCATCCCCCAAGCACACCTTGTAGCAAAACAAGGACGCGTCACAGTCACTCAAAGAGATTCATCATGCACAATCTCTCAAAACATGCCGTACATTTTGTAGTAGAACACGGTGGACTCTCCCGTGCTGGACGAAGGAATCAAATGCCCATCAATGATCGACAGTATGTCATTGCAGATCTTCGACAGCTCCTCTTCCACCTTGTGTCTGTAGTCCTTGATACGCTTCACGTTCTGGTAGTTTCCCTTGCTATCCTCCTTCTGTTCAATAGAGGACATAATCCGCCACGACGCCCGCCGGGCTCCGATTACATTCTTGTAACCCACGGACAAGAGATTTCGCTCCTCCACTGTAAGTTCCACGTCAAGCTTCGCGACTTTCTTCATCGACTCCACCATTTCTGCAGTTGGCAACGCAATACATGAGCTGTGGACATATACAACGACTCCAAGAAAAGATCACGTGCAGTTGCACAGTTCGTTCCTACAAATACTACTTTTACTAATCACGAAAGTGGATGTATATCCCCAGAAATATAGCAATGGTCGGGCTCTGAACCAAACAGCCAGTCAAGTAGTCAATAATATGTAGTGATTCAAGCAACCATGAGGAAGAATCCATGATATGTGAAACAGATTTCCATAATGTCCTTCCTAAACAAACCTAATAATACTTAACCCCTGAGAAACACGAAACGCCCGTCACTATGTACAAATCCACTCGCAGAGTCACAAAATCTGGCGCAAAACATGTAATCGAGTTAACTAGTTCACAGACAAAAATTAAAAAAAAAAATGAAATGTAAATACCCTCCCACTAAGACACAGCTCAGTCCAGAGGAGCATACGTAAAATTATGAACAGTTACGCATTCCACTTCGTCCAGGGATCCAAACAACTCATTGACGATTGTGACAGAGAAAACCCTCGCAGGCGGATAATGGATCACCACACCCTCCCAAAAAAAACGCAGAAATTACAAATTCCTTTTACAAAATCACTCCAGTTTCAACCACGACAATACCACACCAAATCTCCACAACGAAAGACAACATCAACACCGCATTCGCATCCACATCCCCGCTCTCAACCAAAATACGCCACAATGAATCTCCACATCTCCATCCGCCTTCCACCATCACCACCGAAATCCAGATTCAAACAACAAGCTCGCGATCTGGAAAAAAAAAAAAAACAAAACAAAACAAAACAAAACAAACAAACACACACACCAGGACAAAAAATTAAGCACGTACCGTCGTAACGCTCCGCCTGCTCGGCGAGCTTGGCCATGTACACATAGCTCTCGCGCTCCTTCTCCGCACTCATCCTGGCCGAACTTGCGCAAGCAACTCCGAAGAAGAGGAGAGAAGAAGAGGGGAAAAAATTAAAAACAAACAAAAACAAACAAAGAGAGAAGATCAGCGCTACACCTCCCGTAAACTAACACGCAGCACGGAACTAAACGCAAGCGCAATACGAAGCGACTGAAATACACAAGCTGAGAGAGGGTGTGGGAGAGAGAATGTGGACTATCGGACTTGGAAGGCGACGAGCGAGCGAGCAAGCGAGCTGAGCTCTAGTACCATCGATCTGGTCTCGTCTCTTCCTTCCCCCTTTTTGGCGTGTAGCGCGACGGGGCACATGCTGGACGACGATGGATTCCGCCGGCACCGGCCACAGTCGCTGGCTCCCTGGCCCTCCTCCTCCTCCTCCGTTCACCTGCCCTATCTGCCCGGACGCAAACTCTTACCTCCAATAACTTCCACGTTTCACAACATTCATCTCCGTCCCACTTCCGCTCCACTTCCGTGTCCACTTCGTCCGAGATTGTGATGATTTCTCTCCTTGCTCCACGGGACTCTGATTCAGATTCAGTGGAATGTTTTGGTGGCGATAGTGGTGCCCGTGGTAGTTGTGCTGCGCTGAAGGGTTAAATTAGTATGAAGCTAACTCACCGTGGATGGAGCCTTTTATCTTTACTTCGGGGAAATACGCTGGCTACGGTTCAATCCCGTCGAAATTCTCGTGCGCGACTCTGCCGCGACGATCAGGTCTCCGATTGAAGGATCGGAATTGGATTTTCTGCGGAGACACCTCACACGGTTGACAGTTTCAACGCGCGTCCAGCTTGGAAGTGGTGAAGAGGTGTTCGAGGTCGCATTGACCAGGTCTCTCCCTGGAGTGGTGTTTTTTTTTTTTTTTTTTTTTTTTTTTTTTTGCAGCGTGAGAGAATCACAATCTAACTCACAGGGCTTGATGAGGAGGAATTGTCAGACCTACACCTGACATTGCTTGATCTCTCAAGCTTTCACACTGGGGGACCACTCTGGCTTGGCCCGCTGGTTCCAGCTAGCAACTCTAATGTATAAAACAAAACTCAAAAAAACACACAAAAAACTCAAAGAAACTCAAAAAGCTAAAACGGAAACGAAAACAGTATTCTGGCGACGAATTGAAGAGAAGTGGATCGCGGTGGCAAGCATCAGAAACTATCCCTTCCCCAAAATGGATCCCACACTCGCCGAATTGCGCCAAAGGGGGAGTGTCTGCCATTATCGCATCCAGAGCATTCATGGCTTTGCCTCCCTCGTTGTTCCCCAAACCCTAATTTGAAGGATTGCTTCATCTCAAGGTTTATTTTTTATTATATTTTATGTGTTTATTTATTTCGCGTTGCTCTTGATATAAGGATCCAAGTTGATCTTCACTAGAAAATCTTATCAGTCTTTTTGTACTTTGTAGCATATATCAATTTGTATTTCATCAAGTTTGTCTATTTCAGACTTGGGTTTCAGCCAGAAGTTTATTATCATTATTATTGTTAATTTGAATCAAATCGTTTCTTTGCACTTTGATTTCTCAAAACTAGAGGGATTTCTATTCTTTTTTTCTTTTTATTTGTATAACACACACAACAATAGTCAATTGTTTTCGTACATTTGGTATTTAAATAACTGTAAAGTAATGACATATGTCATTAAAAAACATATCTCTTAAAATTTATGATCATTTTATAAAATATATATATATTAAATTTTATGGATGCATGTATGTATATAATATAAATGCTCAGAAGATAAATATTTTATGGTTTTACAACTATATGTAGGAATACGTATAAATATTTTATAATTGAAAAAAATCAAAATCATCTTTTTATTATCTGAATTTTAAAAAATCTCAAAAAATATATATATATAACATCAAATACACAATTGAAGCATAATGTTTTGGTAGTTCAAGCACATAAATAGAGAAAAAATATTATTTTTTTCATTTAAGTTGTTTAATAAGATAATTCTTTTGTAAAACTTTTATTAATGTCTTTTTTGTAAATAGCTAAACAAATACAACTTATTCTTAATGGCAAATAATAGTTTAAAAATATATCTTAATAAGAAATATAATAAGACATTTGCAATTCCTTCAAAATATGCATTGGAGTTACTAAATCTTCTTGAAATTATTTCTCTAATTGCATATCTAATAAGATGTGTATTGAGTTGAGACAATATTAAATATGTTTAACTAAATAAAGTTTATTCTAGAAGAAAATAGAAGCTCAACCAAAAGATTTATAGTAAAATTTTAAGATATAAAAAATGATATAGTTAAATATATTTTTTTCCAAATCATATAAAATGATTACATATACATATAGATATTACGTATAACAATTATTTAAAAAAAAAATTAAGTATAAGACTGCTATTCTGTTTTTTAATAAAATCAATTGCAAAAATTTAGGTATGGAAGTATTGAGTTTAATAGAATGGAATAAAATCAATTAGTTCAGTATTGAAATAAAAATTTATTAAATTATTTGATCAATGGTATAAACTTAATGATTATTATATCTAAAAATTTTAATACTATATATAATGATTATTATTTTTTGAAAATATAATAATAATTATGAAAACTTAGATTATTTTTAAACACTAAATCGCAAATTTTTTTTAATTTAAAGAATTTATACAAAAAAGACACGTGACTATTTTAAAGATTTTTTTTCTCAATGATTGGTGCAAATTTGGAGGAATATCAAATAACAAGGATGTTTTGAATCTATTATAAAATTGATCAAAAGAGGCATATTTTATTTTTTCTATTATAATATCTTATGACTTTCTATCTGATGTAAATAAAAATAAAATTTAAAGGTTTTTTTGATATTTTAATATTCTAAAAATATTTTCATTATTTTATATTTTTATAAAATATTGTATTTAAAAATGTATGTGATTGAATTTTATATTATTTCAATGATACTTAAATGATTTTTTATATTATCGGTTTTTTTACGTACATTAAATGATATATATATATATATATATATATATATATATATATAGAATAATAATTTCAATAATCCTATTTTATGTTTTAGTTTTGGTTTTGTAAATTTAAGAGATATAGTTTTTTTAGGTGCAAATATGAATATATATTTCATGTGTAAAACTAAAACTTTAAAAGGTATATATATTTGAAAATAATCATAAAAAATAAATAATACAATTAATTCTTTTACTTCTTGTTAATAAAACTTGTGTATTTAAAAAAAAAATAGATAAAATTTTAAATAATATAATTGAAAAAAATAATGCAGATCAAATATAGTTTAAATTTATGCTATTTGGGATGTGTTTTTTATTTTAAATTCAATAATACAATTGCCACAGCATAATTGATAAAAACATGGTCAAGGGGCGGTGACAGGTCTAGGTTGGAATTAGGCTCTCCAGTGGTGAGCCCGGATTGATATCCGGATCCGAGATTGCGTCGAATGGATGTCGTTTATTCTTCGTCAGCTCCCAACAACGAAGTTACCCAGCGAAAAAGCAGCCCTTCGTTGATGAACGCGACTGTCCGATGGTCGGGGAATCCAAATTTGATATCCAGACCAGTGACGCCAAAAATATCTCGCAGAGTGAGGGCAGTGAGGAAGGAGATATTTCCTGTCCACTATTGATCTTCATCGTCGCCATCCTCAGCCACATCATCCGCAACGATGGCTACACTCCACTTGGTGTGCATCTATCGTCACCTTTTCTAACTGGCTCTCGGCATCGTTGCGTAGCTCGGCGCTCTTGGCAATCAATTGCGTGGGTCGTCACTTGTAGCTCGCTCCGTTGCCTTCCTATCGAGCCTAATTTCGTCAAATTCGGCCTTGTAACGCTCGAGTTTTGACCTTCTTTAAGCAGACGAATAGCTGCTGCTCATGAATCGGAGGATTTGTTTCGTAATTTAAGGTGCTGGTAAGCAGTGCCGACCATATTCTAAGCCCTGTGTATGATTCAGATTGTTTGTCATGTTTTGGAAACGGTTGCTGTCGTCGAGAGTATGCTTGATTTCAGCTAGGAGGGTGGAGTAGCCGGGAGATGCTGATTTGCCAGGATTGCTCATTTCAATTTTCTGTAGAATTTTGGATCCGTTGGTTTCTTGTGTTGTGTACTCAAGAGTAATGAGTTAGAGTAGGCCACGTTTGGGATTTACAATTCCAATGAGATGTATCTCGAGGGTGTAGTTGGAGTAGACGCTGTGTGGTGGCTCAGCCTTTTGAGTTTGATCTAGACGATCTTTGATGTTCTGCTGTGGTTGCTTCTTGAATGGTGTATTTGGGAAGCACATCCATTTCAAATTTCGTTGAAACCTTCGATTCAAAGGTGTATTGATTCTGTTATTGAGGAAGAATTTTCACAGAGCTGAATTAAGTCTTTATTTACACAGGTTTGAAAAGCGAGCTGTGAATGCAGTGAAGCGTTCAGAGTATTTTGGTTGAGGATTAGCAGTTTGAAGCTAGGGATGTGCATGCAATAAATATTTGTTGCTTCGTTAGTTATCAGATAGGGAATAGCTGATTGCAGTAGTTGAACTATGGCATTGCAATGCGCACAGCTTCTCATACCGACAGGTTTAAAGGCCAATAGAACTCTAAAGGTGGTAGCATCCTCTCGAAACCTATCCCAAGGCAGATTGTCACAGACTGGTTTACAGAATAGCAACTCTACCTTGAAAGTGCGTTTTTTGCGTCACTGTAAGAGGGACAGTACTTGGCATTCTAGACAGCTGAGTAGATTCACTGTTTGTGTGCGTGCGGGGGAACCAAAACCTACTTGGATAGAGATGACTCCAATTACAGGTGAAGCTGAGTTCAATGAGGTTCTCGAGTCGGGCAATCCTGTCATCATTGACTGGTGCTCTCTCTTTCTCCTCTCCTGCTCGTGAAGATTGGTTTCATTTTTGTCATTCGATTTATTCATTCTTATGTTGCTCTCCAGCATGTGATTTCATTGAGTTGTTAACCTGAGAAATTTAGGTTCAGCTTCCAAGTTATCTGCTCGGGTATTCTACAACTTCGCTCCATACGTAGTGAATGGAGGTTAAGCGAGATCTTGAGAGTGTATTTATTCTAGTAGAGTGCTGACGAGGTGCAATTGCCGAGTTTCTCTGTCCAGGATGGCAGCCTGGTGTAGAAAGTGCATATATCTGAAGCCAAAGCTGGAAAAACTCGCCGCTGAGTATCACCCTAAGTACGTGAAAGATTTTCTTGCACTGGATATGTTGTCTGTTGGATTTACAGTGTCTACCTCGTAATTGAGCAATTAAGAGATTTTGTAATTTGATGTGTGCATTTATGTCTCGCACATCTATAGAGTAAAGAGGAATATTGAGTGGACTGATATGCGAGGGTCTAACTTGATCGCATCACCGACAGACTCTAGAGCGATGTCTTTTTCATTCTCGTTGGTAGTTGATATCTTCTTTGATCATCATGAGGTTTCTTGCACTACTGCAGCATCAAGTTTTACTTCGTGGATGTGAATACCGTGCCATCAGCACTTGTGGCTCGCGCTGCGGTAACGGTAAGATTTCTTGTTCGTCATTGATTGTTTATGCTCCCTCTAGATCATCCCAGTACCTCTCTGAAATCCTAGCTCTAAGTTCGTCCCACCAGTGTACTCAAATGTAATATCTAATAGCACTCTACTTGAAAATAGTGCGAAAAGTTGAATTTTTTACTGGTTCGCATTCCCCATGGCTCATAATTTGCTGGGCGTAATACCCGGTCGATATCTTCCAGAAAATGCCAACAATCCAGTTATGGAAGAACAAGGAGAAGGCAGGGGAGGTTATTGGCGGAGATCAAGCCTGGCTGGTGTTGGACAAAATCCGGGAGATGGTTTCTGCGAAAAAGTGATTGTTTCCGGTTGATATTCAATAAGTGTTCGAGGTAGCGAAATGCAACAAACGGAATGCATTGAATTCGTGCGCGTCATTCTATTTTGTATTTTTAGTTTTGAAATGAATTGAGCAGCCTGCTGTGATGTAATGCTAGCTTGGCTGAGCTGCTCTGTATTTTTACGTGCTTCAGTTGCTCTGAGGAGGCTCTCAAACGCTTCTCATGTTGCCATCCGTAGCTTTCTGTATAACAATTATATCTACCTGTACTCACGTAGTGGATGTAGGTAATACATACACGATTTTGAAGAAAAGTCTACACTTTATTCCATTGTACTTTACATTGGAAAAATTGACATTGATCAAATGGAAAAACAAACATATCAAAGTATATCAATGTACTTGTTAAGAATTTTCCTTAGAAAGGGACTTTCATGCTTATGGTCTGGGTCAGGGCAATAGGTGGTGGCAGAAAAGAGGTGATTATTTTGCAAGGGAAGATTGGTTGCCACATGTTGAGTGGACAGATGAAAAAAAAAAAAAGTGAGTAAACTTGTACCCATGTCCATGTCTTGCAAACTTGTCATCTAAAGATGGGAAAAGGCATTGACATTGCACTCATGGAAGGCAGGTCAGAGCTAGGTACATGCCTTTGGGATCTCCTTGCAGAGAAAATCTCATATCCAAACCACTTTTCCCTCCTCTTCCCATGGCTAGTGAATCTATATTGAAAACTACAAATGTGCACCTTTTCAAAGGTTTTGAAGTGTGTGAATTTATATCCATGGTTCCACTGTATTTACTGCTCCCAAGAGTAGAAAACAACAGCAATTGTCCAATGGTATGGGAATAGATACATGAATGAGCAAGTTTTAGGATGTGTGTGTAGGTATGATTATTTATTTATTTACACTTGAATTCAATTTGTAAGTTTCTAATTGACAGCAGAGACTTTTCAATCAATATATCAACAAATGCATCTATCCACTAATTGCCTCATAACAAGCTAGAATTTTTTTAATCATTTATGTAGTAATTTACACTTCCAATTCTATTTTGGAATATATATATATATATATATATATATTTTTAAATTGCATCAAACATACTTCATACCTTTAAAAGATTGAATTATATATGCATATATAAATAATTGATTAATTAATGAATAAATCAAACAGGATGTATCTGTTGTGTAGATTAATTAAGGTACTCAAGAAACAAAGTATCCTATGGCCTAATATTACGTTTTCAAGTTGTTCTCAGATGCATGAAAATTACAGTACAATTTTATGTTGCAGGTTATCCTATCATTTTTTCACATTTAGTGCATGTATGATATAATTGCAGTAAATGCTTTTGGTATTCTGAGACATTGTAATTTCTTCTTTATGATATAAATTTTTTAAACATCTAAACTTTGTTCCAATATCCAAGATATGTGGTGCTTATATCAAATAGTTTTTTTTTAAAGTTGTGTTGATAATACCTTTCAACATTGTATAACCATATCCTATAAGATGGGTTTACACAAGTTGTCTTATGTTTGTCACCTAATATTCTTTTGTCAAAATCCAAAGCAACTTATTTTTATACATGTAATCTGTAATTACATATTTTTTGTGAGTAGGATTGGATAAATACTCCTAAAAAAAAATTAAATAAATAAATAGAAAGAAGAAGAATGCCTACAAAGATGTCACAAAAACGTTTTTTTATGGCCCATTATGCTATGGACTATTCATTATTGTATTTAGATATGACATTGTTTAGTTCCATGCATGATATGATTGAGTGAAATTTTTTAGAACTCCACCTCAAATTTGGCAATATACATAAAAGAATTGTTGCATAAGCTTCTATTCTTCATGCATTGATTACTATTCTTTGGTGCCAAATTCATCAAATAAGTTCTTTCTTTTTTTTACTTTTTTTGGCTTAGAATTATAACCATGAAACTTTTAAAATCAATCTGGAGAAACATATTAAATAATATTTTAATTTACTTTAGATCATAGATATTCCATATTAGTTATCTTTTTACATATAGCCAAGTAATACATTTAGTCATATCTTGTAATATATGGATAAATTTTAGAATCAATTATTAACTCTCCATATAATGGATTATGCTCTTTATTGATTTTTTTTGGTATCTAAAAAGTACTTGCTAAAATTGACAATTTAATCTTTTATGAAACTTGTGGTCCTTTAGATCCTTCTTAAAAATTTAGAAAATCACTAGGTAGATCCCTTCTTTTTGTTGCATTGACATCCCTTGTGTTGCACACCCCCACATAACAAAAAATAAACTAATTTTGATTTTAAATCACAATTCTTAAATCATAATTCTTGTTATATTTTATACTTTAATATTAAAATTTGAGATACTCTCATCCCTTTATATTCTATGGCTCCATATTATCTTAGTCTTCAATTCTTTTGTCCTTGCAAACCTTTGTCAAATTAATTTTTTGAATATTAAAAATAAGTTATGTTTTATCATATAATTTATAAAATATGTTATATTTTATCAAAAAAAAAAATCATCAATGTCTAATATATATATATATATATATATATATATAATCTTATTTAATATAAAAACTAGTTATTTTTTGTAAAGGTATGTATGCAGTGGTATGCGGCTTAAGGCATGTTCACACAATAAAAAGGAGATGTCTACCTAATAGTTTCCAAATATTATTATATATTACTTCAAATAAGTATAATATTTTAAAGTAGATATTAACATGGTATATATATATATAATAAAAAAATATATGTGAACTTAAAAAAAGTAAAATATATTTTATTTTTATTTTTATTTCTAAATGATAATTCTGAATTAAAATATAATATAATAATTATTTTATTTTGTTTTAAATCCTTAATTCTGAAATTATATTTCCTTTAAATCTATTTTTATACTTTTTTCTAATACTTTATCTAAAATTTTCCTTTTCAAACAATTAGTTTCTAACTTTTTGGTTTGATTAGGTGCATGTCTTTAATATTGGTCAAAGTATTCTAAAACAAGTTTTTATTTCTTCTTTAGTTCATTTGATATATCATTTTCATAACAACCACCTAAAATCTATTATAGGCCAACAACCAAAATATGAAACAACTTTAAGGATTGTAAATAGATCTCTAAATGTGACCCAAATGATAAATTTAATTTATTTTATGACTTTTGTAGGTTTTGACTTTGGATTGGAATTAAGCTTCCTTGTTTAAAACACCAACCTAGTAGTTTAAGTTTGGTTTGAAAAAAGCAACAAGAACTTGTGCATTTATGTATTTTTCTTTCAATTTTGTTTATTTTTACAAAAAAAGAAAGCATTCTTTCCAATATTGTTTTCTAAGTCAAATCAAACATTTTTTCACTCTTACTTGTTGAGATAAGTAGAAAAAAATTGTTCAATTACAAGTTCTCTACTTATAAAGTAAAGAATAGCAACTTCATTTTCCAAACTATCTATTTTAACATAAAGAATACTACAATCCACCACCAATCCATAAAGCTCTATTTTCAACACCACGACAATATCCTCAATAATATTCACACAACAATTTGTGTGCTAAGAAATTCTTTGGTTACATGTAATTTTTGTGTGACATGCAATCATGTACACATCTAAATATGCACACTCTTTCTAAATCACCACATTGAAGAAGAGAGGTAAAAGTTAAAAATCACTAACCCAACTCTAAAATTAAGACAACCAAAAGTCAGTGGTTGTGATGACTACTACTAATTTATTAGACTAATCTACAGGGCACTAGTGACACAACAACTGTGTGCGGGTATTGTTGTTGTTGTTGTCAAAGGGTGTGTCAGGCTGCTGCAGAGGAGAAGGAAGAGAGGAAGTGGGGTTGATCTCTCCTTCACCAGCATGGAATCCTTATGTGGATCTCATTGCCTGCCCCTGCACCCACCTGCACCACGCTCTGCCACCGGGCAACGCCATCTCTGCGCCAAGCATCCTCCAGAGTCAACCATAACTTTATAAATAATAAAATCAAAATAAAACAGCACACCCAAGCTTCGTTCCTGTAACAACAACGACCATGATAATTCTACCTTGTCGGGTGGTGTGTGGTTGTCCGTCTTGCTGTCGCCATCAAGATGCTGGTGCGCTACAGAAACACAGCCACGACAAAACAAAATAAATAAATAAATAAAAAAAACGTAAGTTCAGAGTGCGGTGAATTGTATTCTATTCGGAGGGCAGTGTGCTACTGTGAAGAAGACTCTCTGCTGACTGACTGCAGGATGGAGGTTGATTTGCATCTCATGGGTAGCAAATCGTGACCCAGTAATGTTACCGTGGGTTTGGTGAGCTGGGATTCTGAGCCACATTCCCACATGAGGTAATGAACCAGAGAGTCGTGGGCTTGGCGAGTACGTTCCAGTTTTTGCTGATACAAGTGACATTAGTTATCTCAATTTGAAATGTTCTTCTCGCCTAAAATACAGATTAGATTTTGTGAGGCGTTGTTCAAAGAGCTGCGTACAGTTTAGAATCGAGTGGATGATCTTGGTTCTGGTAAACATCTTTATTGTTGAGCTGCGAGACTTTATGGTCCGACTCATCTCAGGGGTTGTCATTCTCGGAGTGATAAGCTTGGAAGGGATCCTGTGCTTTTCAATTGCAGATGATTACCGGCCACTAGAAGCCGCAGTTCTCGTCCGGAAACTTGCATCGATATTTACTAATTTTGGATTCTGCCGTTGGTAGACTTTGCAACCAACGCATCCCGAGTTTCCGTTCCCTTGAAACCTAAACTAGAATCAGACTACCAATACTCATCAGTCCAAACAAGAGTCATTGCTCACAGTGAGTGAGATTTGAGTGAGCCACAAGCTGTGACATTCTTCAACTTCGCGTGGAATCAACCACAAGCAACTCCACATTTTTGTGAAGATCCTTAGGTTGCCTGAATTCTAGCAATGCAGGCAACATTCTAGAAGAGAACAAAAGGATAATTTTTGAGAGTTGGGTGATCAGGCGACGATGAGTTGTTGTTGTAGATTTGGGGTCTCGTTGTGCCGATGGCATCATTTCGCATGCGAAGAAACCGCATATCAGCAATTCAATGTTTTCGGTGTTTTGCGGATTACTATACAAGTAGATCATTCATTCATTCATGCAACACATGCTCTGAATTCCTTCAACAAATTGAGAGTCAAGACAAACTTAAGGGAGTCTTTATACTTTGAAAAAAAAAAAAAAAAAAAAAAAAAAAAACTCTTTGAAATGTGACATGTTTCAAAAGCCTTGCTTATATTTTTTCTTCCGTTCTAAAAGAAAACTCTTGGTATTTGGTATTTGGGTATAATATAAAGTAAGACGAGTTTATATATTATTTAAATCATTTTTTTATTACAAGTTTAAATATGTTAACTCATATCTTCATTCTAGCCATTTATAATTGTGATAAGTATGAAAATATTGATTTATATATTTATTTATGTATTTCTTTATAATGGTTATTTTTAGTAATTTAAAATGTTATTTTTGGATTTAAAAAAAATCACCTTTTGAAATGGGCTTAATGGACAATACCATTCATGCCATGTAAGAAAAAGTGCATTTTTATCATATTTTTTTTCCTCAAGACATATGGACTAATTTTCCAAGTATGAAACCAACTAAGTGAGACTTCTATATCATTTGATTGATTGAAATTAAAAAGTTGTAGATTATCACTTTGTTTTCTAAGTAGAAAGACCTCATTAGCCATATTATGTCAATCAATTAATATTGAATCAAGTAATTAATTTGAATTTTTTGTCATTAATAAATATATAAAACTTTAAAAAATAAACATTATTCTATAATTAATATTATCTTTTCTTTTGTTTTTAATTTTATGTACAAATATTTGTCTACAAGGTAGCAAATGGCTTAGTTTTAAGTATTTAAGATTCTAAATAAGGTCAAAAAATAAAAATCTTAGGATAAAAAGTATAAATTCTACTTTATAAATACATCCTCATTTATAATTTTTTAATTAATTAAATAAAAATAATTTTATAATTTAATGGTTTTAATTTATTTAATTATATTTTTATTAGATATTATATTTTGTGTCAACAAAAAGAATTATATTCTTTGATCAATGTGGATCCTTTTATTTTCAAAGGTGCCTATATTTGTTGACTAATAATCATGTCATTACATTAGTTTTAAACTTTCTAAAAATAACTATATATATATATATATATATATATACATATAATGTATTCATTCTTCAACACAGAATGTCCATTGAAGTCTAAAAGCAGCTATGGTATATTTTTAGCATTATTTTACATAAATCATTCTTCTTTCATAAAACTTCTATTAAAGAGCTAACTTGACCACTTCTACATATGTATCAAAATCATGTATTATCTTTATATTTGGATCTTGCTTATTCTTTTTCCTTACTTTTGGTTATTGTTGTGATATTACTAATATATTTACAATGTGTTTTTTGTACCACTTCAAAATTCTTCTATAAATAATTACCATTTTATTATTATTTATTTATTTTATTTTTTCTATAATAATTAAGTGAAATTTTTCATTCTAAAATTGTTTTAAAAATTTATACTCATATACTTGGAATAGACTATAAAGGAAAAAGCTTCCAAGGGTTCTTTTTAATATTACTTTTTTGTCTTTCCTTGCAATCTTAGCTTATTTTGTATAAAAATATCTTTAGTAACTTTTGATTCTTGAAGATCTAATTAATTTTTTTTCTTATTTTTTTATTTTTTTCTTCTTAAAATATTTTAGATGGTCTTTTGATGTTCATGTTTTTAAAATGATTTAATTTCTCTATGTACTATGCAAAAAAATTATAATTTAAGGCTATTGTAATCAACATATTTATCATAGAATGGTCTAAAAAGCTGTTATCTTCTCAAACTGAAAATTTTAAATATATTATTAGTCACTAAAACTTTTAAAAATAAGAATTTTTGGTAAAAGATTTTCCAGCACTATAAATATATCTATTCATGTTATATTATAGATATTAGATCAATTGTTTTCTAAAAACTATTCTACAAGAATAAGACATTTATGTAATTTTAATAGAGAGAGGTTTGATTTAAAATAGAAGTTTAATATTATAATCATAAATATTATTTTTAATGTATTTATTCATAATTTATTTCCTTCAACTATATAAAAAATATTTTTTTAAGCTACATCATCAAATATATTATATTGTAAACATATTTTGTAAGTACAACTTGCTATATAGACATAAGTTATACAAAAATACCAATTGATATATGATTGAATTTCATTCAAATTTTATAGTTATTTTGTTGAGATCCACAAAAGAAATTAAATGGTTATTAAAATAACTATTAAAAACTAAAATCCTCATTATATATCCCACAACCTTTATATAATTTTAGACTATCATTGATTCTAAAATACAATCTATTGTACCTTTTTGCACAATGTATTTAAATTCTAAACTTTATAATTACTTGGTTCTTATTCTAGAAATAGAATAACTTTCTTGAAAAGATTAATTGTAGATCATGCAATTACAAAATTGATTTATTTTATTTCAATTGCTAAAAATTTAGATAATATATAATACTACATACAGCTTTATAATTTTTAAAATTAAAAACATAACTATTTGATAAATTAATTAAAAAAACTCCAAATTTGTTTTATATATATATATATATATATATACATATAATTATATTTTTTCCTTTTAGCTATATGGGATTACAATGATTTGGTATCTTTTTTTTTTTTAAAGCAAGCCTGATGGTGGCTATAGTTGGAATGGACCATATTTAGTTACTGCATCTTTCATTGCTAATTTAAGTTTGAATATAATACAATAAAATCAATATCTTTTTTTTTTTTTTAAATGATCTTTCTACATGTGTGCATATTATTGTGACATGGCGAAAATGTTTTATTTCTGAAAACGTTTTAATGATTAAATTTATTATTGAACTTACTTTGATGTTGAATTAAAAATTAAAATAATTTTCTCAAAAGTAGATTTTTTTTTTTCTGTCATTAATTTAAATGCATTACTTGATATAAAATTTTCTTTTAAACCTCTAAATAATTGCGTCTCTTATTCTTTTAAATTCTTCCAAATAAAAGATTGCCAAGTGTTAGATTCAATCCTAAACATCCTTAAAACCGACATCATCCCAAATCAAAAGAAAGCACATGATTTTATAAAGATTCATATGCATATATAGAGAGAGAAATATAAGTTAATATCATTATTTTTTGAAGCATTGAAAAATATTTACATATGTATCGTCATGGAACCATCATCATCCACAAGCCTATTGCTCTTACCCCCTTCGTTCCCACACAAGTGCCCAAGTCCCCAATGAGGTTCCCAGCACTTGAATCCATCAGCCCAGAGCACAAGTGTGAACGGAGTTATAACCATACTCACTCCCATAGAGACCGTGTTCACACCTGGAGAGAGCGAGAGAGAGAGAGAGAGCGGGAGTCAATTCCAGGTGCCACGTGTCAATCCAGCACCCTGTGTCCACGTGGCATCCAGTTTTGTGTTCCCACAGTTTCAGAATATTAATATTTATTTATTAAATTTTTTAATAATAGAAACAAATAAATTATGTATTATAATAATAGTTACTAATAACAGTTTAATTTTTTATTGTTATTAATTACGGGTTTTCTAGAACAAGCTTGGTTCATGTTGGTGGTGCTCTCAGAAGCAAAGTAAAAGTATTATAATGAGTAAATAAAAGTTTTGGTATGTGAACATGAGTTGTGACAAGAAAAATTTGTGAGTTTTTTGTATTAGAAGAGCATGCTAACATACATATATAGTAATTCATACGTATTTAATGGCTCACAAGGTTGAAATAATGTTACGTTATTATAGTTTGTATTGTGCTATGTTTAGTTTTTTAACCAAACAACTACAACCTGTTTAATAGTTATTGCAATGATAAAAAAAAATTTAAGCAGATGCATGCTTTTGTTCACATTGTATTTAATGATGCGCATGATTGTTATTTGTATAAAATTATCATAAAATATGACCCCTTTTCTATACAAATCATATGCTTGAGAATAGATTTGAGAAGGGGAATTAAATGAAACTTACTATGACCTTTTTCTTTCCTAAAAGAACATATTGATTATTTAAAATTTATGTAGATTATGAGGTACAATAGTGAAAAAAATGGTGATGTGTAGGTCTACACTAAATATTGTGGATGCAAATGGCTGAATAATATTTCAACAACTTTTATATTATTACATTCTAACAATTGCACAAGTAATGCATATTAATACATCATGCACATTATTTGACATTTTGCACTAAATACAATAAATAGGTAAAATTTGATAATAAATCTTAAACAACTACATTTTTTATAATTTTTTCTAGAATTAATAATTTTCATGTCAATATACCGCCACTTAAAACAGATAATTGGTTTGTGGTTGATTTAAAACAATGTGTGTACAACTAAGGTACTTTTAAACACCTAAAATCAATCAATTACTGGTAAATTAATAGCTAGATGATTTGCAATTACAATTTTATACAGTAAAATTCTTAGAGTTATATTTTTAAATTAATGTTACCGAAATTAATGCTCATTTGGTTGACACAAATATTTCCTAAAAGTATTAATTATTTTTGGCAATCGAGAGCCGCTTTTTATGATGAAATGTTTTTACTCAAAGATTATTCGTTTGTGATCAATAAATTCTACACAAGTGTTGTTGACAATGTTTGTGTCAAAAAAACAATATACTATTTTCATAATAAGCCAATGAACACATGCAATAATATTATAAAAGTAATAAAATGCACTATATTTATTTTTTAAAAAATATATTAAAATACAGCTCTTCAACCATTATCAGATGTGTATAAAATCCTTAAAAGAAGATTTTTAAAAAGTAGATATTAATTCACTATTCATAAATAAGATACTCTTGATTATTCACATGACAGCTCATAAAATCAGTTTCATGTAATGATAAGTATGGATGATTTTGTAAGCATGCATTTTATACAATTAATAATAAATCTATAGCTATTTAGTGATTAAATCATTATCATGCTTGTAAGTTTTATACGAATTATTTATTAGAAGTATGTTTACTGTAAAAATTACTAAGATATAAAAAAAATTAAATATCAATGTATGTGTATGTATATTTATATTTATGTAGAAAACATACTTGACCACATATTATGTATGCATTTTTTACCCCCCCCCCCACACACACACACATATATATATATATATATATATAAATAAACACACACACACACATATATATATATATATATATATAAATAAACACACACACACACACATATATATATATATATATATATAAATAAACACACACACACACACATATATATATATATATATATATAAATAAATAAACACACACACACACACATATTATGCATGCATTTTTGGTCAAATTAAATGATATGATTTACATGTGGGAAATTTGTATGCAAAAGTACACACAAGTCTATTACATTTTATTTTTTTATTGCTATGTTTTAAATACAATTGCAAATCCCTTGATTTAAAAAATAATAATGTGCTGAAAAAAAATCAGTCCAGAAAATGAACAACACAGCTTTTGGTACATTTTTTGAATTTATCAATAAATAAATTAGTGTCACATAGATGGGGCTCAATCATTTCATAGCCAGGCACATTTCATAATATCCCAACAACAGTCATATGTTAATACAAATATAAATATACTTGGTTTCAAATCCAACAAACTAAAAAACTCCATAGTATAGTAAAACCAGAAAGCGCTCAATAATAAATAAATAAGTAAATACATAAACAAGGGAAAAAAGCTTAGAATTATGCAAAATCGTTGAAGATTTGACAACTCGGAATAAATCTCCACAAGTACAGAAATGAGAGATTTACACCACAACTTACGATAAAAGCCAACTTCTAGTGCAGTGATAAAATTTTGCACTTTAGAAATGTACTCTTACACCAAGTAAAGCAAAATAATAATAATAATAATAAATAAATAAATAACTACTCACCCACTTGGCCAGTGGATGATAAAACGTGACTGTTTTCAAAGCACTCTTGACATGAGAAAATACCCAAGGCACAGTTTTATTCATTTAAATTTTATTACATCAAAACCTGGGTTTAGTGCCCCAAAATGCTCAAAATACTCACACCCTGTAAGAAAGAGTATTGGGTAGTGTTTTTGTTTTTATGTGATTTTTGTGTTTTTTGTTTTAGTTTTTTACCTTCACAGAATGGCGAGACGGCGGGCCTTTGGTTTGCAAAGATCCGAGCGATCCAGGTCCACCTCGCAGTCATGAATGATGCGATCGGTGTTCCTGGTAATCCACCGAAGCAATTGACTCGGCACCAAATATATTCTTCCATGTCTGTCTTGCTCTTGTGCATCATTGCCATTGCATTTGCATTTGCATTGCATTCAAAGTCCAGTTGCAGCTGCAGCTTAAGCTGCTCAAGCTTCACCCACTGTCTGTCTCTCTCTCTCTCTTTATCACTCTCTCTCTCTCTTCACTGCTGCTGCTAGCTCGTGTCTTGTCGAGGTCGTTTCGCTCAGACTCCATAGAGCCAATGCCGTCCAGGACTCACATGTAGCGATATCCATACACCAGAAGAAAAGTGAAGTGAAGTGATCGTCGTCGATGCATTCTAGTGTGTGACCAGTGGTCCAGTTTGGGAAAAGGAGAATAAGAAGTTGAGAGAGCGAGATCGATGAGCTCATGGAGTGACTGTTGTGGTGCTTGCTTGTTGAAATCATGGCTGCGTGAGCCATGGTCGGCTCAGGGTAGGGAATCAGACGTTGGGATGCGAGGAGTGGAGATGATGATTTGTGCCGGCGATGGTTTGTGAGGTTTGTGAGGTGGAGGAGGAGTTTTATGAGGAGATAGATGGTGAGAGGGCGGTTTTATTTGTGAGGTGGGTCGTCGCAGGTGGTGGTGGTAGAAGTGGGACGTAATGGACCAGGTAGCGGTGCCGCCGTTTTTCCTATGTCCGATATCGCTGGAGTTGATGCGAGATCCTGTGACGTTAAGCACGGGAATGACATATGATCGTGCGGGCATCGAGAAGTGGCTGGGTTTGGGGCACAATACGTGCCCCACCACGAACCAAATCCTCGATAGCCAGGAGATGATTCCCAATCACACCCTCCGCCGGCTGCTTCACAACTGGTGCGCCGAGAACGAAGTTCACGACGTGGGGAGAATCCCCACGTTGAAGGAGTTGGACACCGACATGGTGACGCAGTTACTGCAGAGTATCGCTCAATGTCGGGAGATGGAGTGGTTGGATTCGTTGAGGAAGCTGCGGATGTTAGCGAAAGAGTGTGAGCGCAACAGGAAGCGCATTGCCGAGGCCGGGGGAGTTGGTACCCTGGCTGCAGCCATGGGGAGGGGAGAGATGGATATGTCTGTGGAGGCGTGCGAGGACGCTGTGGCCATAATTGTGCACTTGCAGCTCGGCGATGGCGACAAGAGGGCTTTGTCCGAGCCGAAGATGCTGTCGCATTTGGGGTTTGTTCTCGCATCGGGTAGCTTGGAGGGGAAGGTGAACGCGGCGGACATAATTCATGCTCTTTGCAAGGAGAATCCGCGCGTGAAAGCAGCTGTGGGAGATCTCCCAGGGGCTATCAGAGCAATCGTGAATCTCCTCCGTGAGGATCTTTACCCTAGAGCAGTGCAATCAGGTCTACGCTGCTTACAATCCATGTGCCTGTCGCGCCGGAATCGTGTCACTGCCATCAATTGCCGCACAATCACCACGCTTGTTGCACTGCTTCCCAACACGGACAAGCGAAACAAGGAGCGAGTGTTCGCGCTTCTGGAGATTCTCGCGAACTGCGCCGAGGGGCGGGAAGCGATCTCCAATCACGCGCTGGCCATCCCCGTGATGGTGAAATCAATGCTGGGTGTGTCCCACCGCGCCACGGAGTACGCCGTGGCCGCACTGTGGCTGGTCCTCTCTTACGCCTCCAACCGCAATGTCATCAACACGGCGCTGCAAGCGGGTGCTTTCACGAACTTGCTCATGTTACTGTCGAGTCAGTGCAGCCAACTGGCGAAGAAAAGAGCGCAGGATAGCGTCAAGCTCTTAAATGAGGTGGTCTTGGATACCTACACATGCAGGCATGTCGACTCTCCAGGGATAACTCATCACAGAAACACACTTTCCACCACCGAGCCAGTGTAGTGTTGTGTAGGAGCGATTAAACTAATTTTGGTTCGAAATGCCAGTGTCGACAAAAAAAAAATCTCGAAGAAGAATAAATTTAACCGCAGCGACGTCGGACGCCGACGTGTCCTATTTTTTATTTTTTATTTTAGGGTATTGCAATTACAAGGTCCTTGACAAAAAATTGTGCAACACATGCAGGAGGAAAGAAATGTAGTTTTTGATGTATTATAAGCACGAGGTTGGACATTACCAATCACTATTTGCAATGTCTGTCAAACAATCTCGAAGCTCAAACTGTCAAGTAATCTGCGAGAATATTTGAATTAATGTAATTCGCCGTTTTCCCACCCACCAAAAAAAAAAAAAATGAGAAATTGGATTGTTGTTTCCGCATTTGCAAAGCTTTGAGCTGCAGTGATCATTTGCAATGGTTCCACTTCCCTCATCATTGAATCAATTAAGCCCTTGTAGCGGGCGGAGATTACCCTTGCGCCACTGACACTCATTCCTACAACTTTCCTGCAAGTCGGGGTGTCTTTATTAATGTAATGATCTAATTTAGACAATACCACCTAATGAATTGACTGATCGTAAACCTAAACCCCCACCCCCTAATCAATCAATCTGGTACTTGTACGTTAGATACCAAAGCACGATTCCAGCGACTGATGTAGTGCTCATGTTGCCGCCTTGTCTTGTATGAGTTGTAATGGAACCAAGACAATGCACGACTTTGGTAACAACCCAAGTGATTGTTGAGTCGTTTATGTCAAAGAAAAGGTTCGTAGCTTCGAGGGAGCGGATAGTAGACTCTCTCTCAACGTTGAAAAGTTCACATCGCTACTTGTTCACCGAATTTTGTTAATCAGCACCATCTCTGAGGCTCACAGGAAGTGATCAGAACATGATGGGGTTTGGGGACCACTTGCCAAATCAAGGCATCAACCAATGAGCAACTCCTTTGACCAAGGGGCCTGGCAAGCAGTGCAGGAAGATCATTACCACTTGGGGGGTGGTGGTACGTTTGTACTGCACGACGACGTTAAAACATCAAACAAACTATTAAATTAGCGCCCTGGGAGTGGGCTTCGCTGTCCTGTCGTCAATTACGCGCAGGCCACCATCAAATCAGAGAAGGGTGCTGCGCCAGGACAACAAAAAAAATGTTGAATGCTTTGTGTTGTTGGTGCACTAATAAAGTTTTAATACCCAACAAGTCAGGCAGGCTCTAGGTTTACTTTTCGAACTTCTGGAGCAGATCTGTGTGAACGTTGAGCTCTGTAATTTTGGCGAGTACTGGTAATGCGAGTGTATAATGTACCACATGATGCTGTTTTCCACTTATCCCTAAGCTATAAAGCTGTTAACCTTCCACATTTCATGTCAGTGAGTCTCCTGCGGCCTGTGGGAAAGGATGTGAGGCGGGATTTCGTTGACCTGGCTGCAGATTCTCAAGATCATGTTAATTTTTGTGTATTCGGTGGACAGACATGAGCATATATTAATTGTAGAATTGCGGCAATTATTGATTACCTATCTTTACATCTGTGTGTGTGTGTGTGTGGGGGGGGGGTGTATGCAGTAGCGTTACATTATCAGTTGACTTCCAGAATTGAAAGACTTCTTCATGCCAGTTGAGTGGTTAGTTACCAGGCAGAGGAATACATTCATGGGCACATACAAGAAAAGTGTGTTTGCAGGTTCTCAAAGTAGTGAAAATGCTGAGAATCATCCAGATCCATTTAACACGGCAGGGCTCTGCTTGTGATCTCAGTGTACTAGAGTCACAAGTCTAGCGGTAGCACTAAGTCTCGTTTGCTATGATATTTGAGCCAGTGGTTACGGTTCATGTAACTGGTTCTGCACAAGGAGTGGACTCTCTAACAATAGACATATGCAATTTGAAGTATTTAGTGTTTGGGGGTATTAATCAAGCTAGTGCAGAATCTTGTAGTACCTTCGTATGTGGGAGAAAGAAGCGACAACTTGTTACTACACTAAAATCTTCGTGGCTCATTACTGTGTCCTGTAATTGTGATGTTTCAATACTAGAGAAGTTAACTATGAGGTGTATCATAACATTTCACCAGCTCTTCTCATTCATCTAACTAAGTATATATATACATGCATACATACATATTAGGTGAAGAGTTTCGACTAGTGTGACAGAGTACGAAGGACAAGTAGTACATCCTACCAAGATGTTTCACATTTATATTTTGTATGATACAAATCACAATTGTTTGCATTCTACAGAGATTGCCACATGCTTCTCTAACTATTGCAATGACCATCACCATTGTATACAGTACATGCCGCAGTTGCTTTATTAGGGACCTATATGTTCAACAGCCTAATCATGGACAATGTTGGACAGTGCACACCGCTCCAAGGCACTAGACTTGCCATATCTATGCGCTTGCAGACTTGGGCTCAATGTCACACTTTGATGGAAGCTCACTAATTCCATCGAGGACGTCCTCGAATCGAGGCAACCGACCTTTCTGAAAACACCCCACAAACCAGCGTTACCTCCCATTCCCAAAATGATTAAATCCCTGATATTTAGTGATTCAGAGGTAGGGATTGAATGCACTAGGAACAAAAACGTTAGCGGCATCAGCAATAAGGAGCTAAGTACTGGAACTTGAGCATACGAGTTCAGGAAAAAATATCGGATAAGAATGGAACAAGCTTGCCCACCTTCAGCTTCGACCAAATGACATGGCCATCGCAGATTATTTCGAATGACCCCTTCCTGTCACAGGTGAGGCTCTGCGTGTCAGTATATAGAGTACATCCTACATTGCAGTCTCCAACAAAACCGATATCCTAGCGACGAAGTAGACTATACCATGATTTCGTTGAAAAAATAGATCCAAGACGATAGACTTTAAAAATTAATACCGCCACTACAACTATTCTGAGCGTCAGACGTCCAGACACTTCAAACGAGTCTAATTTTTACAAATCAAACGACAATCAATACGCACAAATGAACGGGATTGTGGTGTGTTTGTGTGCATAAGGTGGTGCAATGAAAGTGCTTACCGCGCTTCCATGTTGTTTGGACTCACAAGGACTGCCAACTCTGGGTGTGCCGCCTCTGCATGCATTACGAATCCCGGACAACTCATTACACATGACTACCAAAAGAAAGGTTTTACAAACGCAATTTGGAAAAGCACAGGCGGGCCCATGAAACAACAAGAAACTATTCAACTACAGTTGGCTGTTGCAAATCTATTGTAGGAAATAATAATCTAGCATAGATAACAGATTCCAATAAGAGATTTTATGATAAAAATCCAATAACCAACGGAATTATATTAACAAGCTTGAAAGGTCGCTATCAAGGATATGAACATACCAACTTTGTCAGCGATTTCAATGAAGTAGTCCGTGTATTCGCTATCTTCGCAGTATTCCACAATAATCTGCAATCAACAATAGGCTTCAATAAAAAGTAAAAAATATTGAAATGAAAGTAAAGGTAGCCACTCAATGCAATACTTAAGAACGGCCACCCTGCTAGTATTCCTCACACTAAGCTACAGAAGGGATCAATATCAATATTGGGTGGCTCCGAAAGACACTAGACTTCCTTTGCTCAAATTTGGCAGTTTCTGTCAACATCTTCTAGATTTTTAAGGGGCCGAAGATAATCTGTGCAGGAATTATCTAGCAGGTGCACATATACTCATGAAAACTAACGAGGCCCAAAATTGAAGTCGAAATTAAAGAAATTTCTTTCTGAGAAAATTCAACTTAGCACCTCAAGTCCCAGTATCCCTTCTGGAATTAAGGTTTTGATCAAGAGTAAACGAAGACTCACTTCAAAAAAATTGCAATTCCTCCTAAGCATCCCAACGCTCACAAATTCTCAGAAACAAAATACTTCATACCTTCACATCAATTCAAGTTTCTATCTAATGACACAGCACGTGGAATTCCTCCAAACATTCATCCAATTGATCACCTCAAAGTCCACAGAAGGCAACTCCCCACATTTCATCCACAATCCTACAACCATGAATCTATATACTCCTCAAGTATGCGAGAAGAGAGTCCCAACATACCTCCCGAGGAGGAGGATTCCCCAAATTAGCACAGCACGACATGTGGTGAGCTTGAATCATCTTCCGCCAGTGGAACCCAGGCTCAAACGTGGAATTGGTCGACGACCTCCGAACCTGTCCGACTCCCTGTACAACCCCCCGCTCAACGGTGGCCACTCTCGGCGCTCCTAACGCAGCAGTGCAAATAACCCTAGCAACGTTTTTCGCGAATCCTGAGCGCCGCATTACACCCACCACCAGCGCCATCCCTACCCAAACGCAACTACCAGCTCCAATTGCGACAAGATTCCTCCCTTCTCAACCGATTACTCTCACAATTGAAACTACTTCAAGACACAAGCCTGAACAAGCAGAGCTTCGGAGCAATATGGCTAGTTAGTGGCCAACTGAGTGGTACCGATAAACACACAGCACCCAACCCCAAATCTGATGGCACCCAACACCAGAGCCGCCCCAAAAGCAAGCAGAACGCAAGGTTGGGAATGCACATGAATCTGGACGGGGAAGAATCGGCGCTGCGGCTAATTCCCCACCGTTGTTCCTTTTTTCGTCGCAACGCGAATTCGTGTCCAGGAAAGCGCAAAATACAAAGCCGTGGCCGAGATTGTTCTTCCGAACGGGGCCATAGGTCACAATGTCCTTCGACCGTGGGACGGTAATACCATGTTCTAGGTTTTCTGTGTGCGAGACCGTGGCTCGATTTCGCTCTATCACCGCGATACGCGGGTTTGGAAAACCGCACCCGTTTCTGGGACGGTCATTGGGTGCTCTGTGATTGTGGAACTTCCATGTCTTGGTTGGATATTTTGCTTTGAGAAAGAGGGTCATTTGTTGGTTCTGATTTTTAGTTTGATGCAGAATTAATTAATGAAGGTGATGATACCTGAATATATATATATATATTTATATTTGTAAGGGGTCACACCCTTATGATTCTTGCAGGACACAATCTAATATCTAAACTAATAGACATATTAATTGTATGTATATTGTATATGCCTTTTACTTCCACTAGTTGGGTATTCGGTTTTAAATTTACTCTATGGTTTCTTCTTAAGGTATTTTCATTTACTACTTTTATAAATAAATAATATTTCTTTTTATTTAAACTTGTTGTTTGTTTAATTATTGATATTTGATTTGTTAAAAAGTTATGTGATTAGTCTCCTACTCCAATGAAAGAATCAATTTTATACTCTCATCTAAACCTAAGCCATGGAAGCTTGAGCATTTGCATAAAATAGTTAAAGTATTATAATCTTCTAGACTAAGGTTTTGCATAAAAGCATGGTGTTTTTATTGTACTAAACTCTCACTTACAATAATAGCTACCATGTTATTAGTTGAGATATATATAATTTAAATTTGGTTGGATTGAACTATTTTACAGATGTAATGATGTTAGATATCTATATGTTTATTTTAGAAGTGAAACTTTGGATTTTGGCTTAAGGCAATGGCACTTTAGTTGTCAATATAAATGGGGGTAGGAACTCTATGATAAAATTATATATCTTTTAGTAGTCATTGTAGCCATACAACTTCTACACATGTCTTTGATAATGCTATATGTTTAAATTCAATGATAGAAAGAGCCACCAAGGTTTATTTCTTACTTACTTAAAAAAATTATACCTCCAATAAGAAAAAAACAATAGTTTAATGTAAAATGGGGGATATTTAGATCATTGGCCTAATCAACATCAAAGTACATATATTATATAGAACCTTTTAAATATTATTTATAAACAATACTTTTATTGAATATGCCTTTTACATAATGCAAGACTCATTTTATAGCTTATTGATAGATTAATCTAAAATTGAATGGATATTGTGGGAGACTATTTACACTATAGAATAAGTCTTGATTAGCCATGACATTGGAATGAATCAAACTTCCAATGCATTGTAAATAAGCAATCTGCTATATTTTCTCTTTTTGTTCTTTTTTAGTTAAAAAATTATTTTTAAATACCTTTATATATGCTTCTAAAGCTATATTTATTATTTTAAAATTTTTCATATCATATTTATTAAAAAAAATTGAAGTACTTAGTTTGATTTATGACAAGGGTATTTTGTACATAATTTATGTATATTTTAAGTCAATTAAATAATAAATTTGGCCTTTATCACTCATGTCAAATATTTGACTTAAAATATTTCATAAGTAATATATATATATATATATATATATATTACTTATAAAGATACAATCATTTATATAAATGGAAATGATAATAAAATAATCTTGTTGTTGCTTTATGTAAATATTAGAATGTACGTTAGTTGAGTAAAAACCATATTGTAATAGATACTAGTCCAAACATTAGTACCAAGTATGTGATGATTTTTTAAAACTATACAATGATTTGTACTAGTTTACAAACCATATTAGGAGAATGGGATAATTCTTTTATAGTTTATATATAAATATCTTTATAAAATTGACCACTTAGAATAGCATTTTTAATGTCCAATTGGTAGAATTTAAGATTAAATTAAGTAGCCACTACTAGAAAGACTTTCATAGAATTTAGTTTTAAAACATATAAAAAAAATATCAAATTAATAAAGTCTTTCTATTTGATTGTAATCTTTAACAATTAGATAAGCCTAATACTTATGAATAGAGCCATCTATATTATATTTATTTTAAAATTCTATTTTGATGTTATTATTTTGCAACTAAGAGGTAGAGATTTCAATACCAAAGTCTTGTTTTGTAGAAGTGATTTTATTTTATCATCAATTACAAGCTACCAATCTTTAGCTTGAAGACTTAACAAAGTTTGCTTAAGAGTAAGAAACTCAATAATTGCATTGACCACTAAAGCTTGCTGCTTTGCTTTCATATTTTGACTTAATTAACTTACAACATTTTATAGATTCTAATAACCTTTTTTTAGAATTAATTGTTTTTTTGGGCCTTAATTTAGTTTAAAAAGGCAAGCATAAAACAAAGCAAGAAAACCATAGAAGAAGTCATAAATTATTTTATTTTTTATTTATAAATAATTTAAGAAATACATTTTTAAAATTATTTTAATTTCCATTTAAATTTATGTTTGAAGATTAAAAGATATAATTAAAAGTAGCTTCACCTATATCTAATATAGAAAGGATGGATTCACTATTAATTGGTACATTATCTTTATACCATGGAAGTTCAAGAGATGATGAACTTTGTGATTTTTCCTCAAACTTCATATCTCAGAAAATAATAAATTTATAATTTTTTGTACTCATTAGTATATATACTTTTTATTCCCTATTATATCCAAGAAAAATAAATTTGATGGTGTGATGATCCAATTTCTTGCAATGAAAAATTTATATTTAAATTAAGCCATAAGGTATGCATCCAAAAATTCTTAAATGAATTTATGTTGGCCTTCTAGTCCAAACTTCACAAGGAATATAACCATTGACTGCTTTTGTAGGACTTCTATTCTATTAGCAATTTGTAGTAAGAAGAGCCACTCTCTCAAAACATTTATATAAGCTACTATTGATTAATAGAAAAATTAGTTTATTAACTAAAGTGCAATTTTTTTGTTCACTTATTCCATTTTATTGGGATAAATCAAAATTTCTAAACTGGTGATTGATTCTATAAGTGTAACAAAATAATACAAAAAATTTAGATTTATATTCTTTGTCGTTGTAGAAAGGTAGTATAATTATTTGATTTGAATTGGGATTTTCTACCAATTGTTTATATATTTTGAGTTTTGTAAATGTTTTGGATTAAATAACAATATATCTTAATTTTTCATCAATAAAAGTTGAAAAATATAATTATTTTAATAGATAGGTGGATTTATTAGTCCACATGAATCATTATGTATCAATTCCAACAATTTAATAGTTTAGAAATTGGCTTATTTGGGAAATAGATCATGATGTTGTTTTCTATTTAAACATGGATGACAAGACACATGGTTTATTAGTATATTTTTCATCCATGTTTAAATTTTACCTTTATGATATATATATATATATATATATATATATTTTGTTTTTTTTAATATTTATTGAAGCATGCACTGCATCTTTATCAGAAAGTTGATGCTCCCAGGTACTGCTAATTGTTGAATTAATAATCAAATTTTGTGTATGTAATTAGTCATGTTATCTATTTGTTTTGTTTTCAATGAGTGAAATTGAGTTTTAAGATGCATCCTTGTTACAGCATCATCAATTTCAGTAACTGAAGCAGATATGGGCATGGACTTTATCCCATGGACAAATGGCCATAGTTGTTTTTCTTTTAAAAATAAAGTTAATTTGTGCTTCCACACGTTAAAATAAGTGCCATCAAATTATCCAACATCCCAAATATCAGAAATTTTTGAATGTGTCATTTATTGGATTTATTCAGAATTTTTGAAGCATCATGGAATGTTCGGAATCATTCGAATCATGTGCTGAAAACTATGTTTTTTTTTTTTTTTTTTTTTTTTTTTTTTTTAAGTTTTAAAAAATATATATCCGCTCTGGCACCATTTTAGATTGATACAGCATTAATTAATGAAAGTAATCACATCATTGTTAATCTCACACAGCACAACCTAGTATCTAAACTAAATAGACATATTATGCATATTTATATTATATACAAAATGTACTGTGTATATGTCTTTAATCTGAATGTATGCTGTAATGCAAATTATTGCTGGAGTAATTTCGGGTTTCAGTGTGGGTAATGATATATATATATATATATATATATATATTCCCACTACAAGACAATAAATGAAAAAGTTACAAACGTGATAAAAACTTCCACAAAATTTAAAATAATTGGTTTTTACAAGGTGTTTGTTAAATATAGAATTAAAAAAAAAGCTATTGATCTAAAATTTTGGAAAAAAAATCAATGAAGTCTTTTATTAAAATTCTTGTGTATGTCGAATCTGAATTGTATATGGCATAATACGGTGCTTTGAAAGTATTATATGCTAGGCTCACTATGATGTGAGTCAAACATTGTTTAATAATAATAATAATAATAGTACAGGTCCTTGGATTTGTTTTCAAGATTATCTATATACTTGTATGTAAATCTTAGCTTTTATACTTGTAAGAAGTTTAATGTCTTCAAATATTTTGAGGGATACTAAATTTATTGAATATAATATACACATGTATTTAAACTTTACTCAAGCCTACAATGGTGACTATCAAAATCAATAAAATTTAGAACAATGTTAAAGAAAAATTGAACTTGTGTGAGGCTTTTAACAAATCATCAAGGGGCAACAGTCAAAACTTACAGTCATCAAAACAAAATATAGTAAAAAATTGTAATAATTCTTTTAAAATCCCACCAATTAAAATAATAATAATAATAATAATCCCCCACCATTCCTTGAAATCCTATACAGTGTGAATCAACAAGCACTGCAATAAAATCCTCATATATATATATATATATATATATACACACACACACACACAAATAACAACATTGGATCAAGGGAAAGTAAAACACAACATAGCTTACAGTACAGTATCAATTCAGCGTACAGGACCTGTGATCCAAGCTCAT